AGGTGCCCATGGTTCAATTGCTCGTTAGGCTGCCGATTTGGTGATCAATGCAAAGCTGCTCACAGTTGTGTCGAGTGTGGTAAGGACCACCCTTGGCACGGCAATCGCTGATCAGATGCAGCGGGGGGTCAGCCACCGGCTCAGGCGGCCCCCCTGAAGTGCAACAATGAGCCTTGCGGCGCGCATGAAGCTGCCTCACCTCAGCTGACAGTGCCGGCTGCTCGTCCCGAGTGGCGCTCATGGAGTGAAGTCCCCCGAGATCCGCAACTTGTGCAACAACATGGCCCATGGTTCTTGGAGATTTTCTCTGGCACCGCCACTCTGACGGCGGCCGTGCGCTCGCTGAATATCCCATCTTTGCCAACGGTTGACGTTACAGTGTGCGAGGAAGTCCCAACACCGTTCGATGTTGTGGATGTTGAACAATGGGACTTCATCTTGACCTCGGCCCTCCGCCACTGCGATCGGCTGCTTTCCCTTTAGGGCTCCCCGACCTCTCCGAGGACAACACGAATCTGGTCTTTCTGGGCAATTTGTTTTTGCTTCGCTCGGCAGAAGCATGCGCTGCTGTCTTCGCTCAAGGCGGCAACTTCTCCATCGAGAATCCTGAGGCGAGCCTGCTGTGGTGCGCCCCACCGACAACGACGTTGGCCCGCATCTGCCGCGCCTTTTTCGTGAGCTTTGATCAGTGCGAGTTTGGTGCTCCCTCGGTGAAGCCCACGACCTTGTTGGTCTCCCACCAGGTGTTCACCCAGCTGGAGCGTCGCTGTGCGGGCGGTCACCGACATGTTCGCCTTCATGGTAAAGTGTGGTCGTCCTTTTTCAAGAAGGAGGTCTTCGGCACCAAGCTGGCGCAAGTGTATCCTGCTCGGATGTGCTTCTCCATGGCTAGCTGCATCGCTATTTGTTGGGTTACATCTTTACCGCAGTTTATGGCCAATCGCCTCCAAGAGAAAGCGTCCAGTCGGACAGCCCCTGCGGTGGCGTGATCACCGCCAAGCTGTTACAGCTCTCAAGGCCGAAGCCGCCGGCTACCAGCTGAAGCGGGGTGCTCGGAAGCCTTTGCTCGATGTTGAGACAGAGCCGGGGGTGGCGGTTGCATGGTCCCTCGATATCCCTCACCCTCTGTGTGTGGAAGTGGAATTGGATGACCTCCTCCGTGCTACGATACTCCAGCTTGCTCGACATCCCGCTGAAGTTCAAAAGCAGCGTGCAACCGCCTTGCAACATTGGGGGCGCCGAGCCCACGCGCTGCTGCCGGCTACAGAGGCTTTGCTCGCTAATGTTCCTGATGCGGGTGTTCGGAAGCTCCTACGGGGGGCTCCTGATTCGGAAACACTGACGTTGGGCCACTGCTGCCATATCGCGCTCTATTATGAAATGCTCCAGGCTTGCGGCTCAGTGGATGCGTTCTTACCAGACCTCCTTCTGCGGGGCTGTCCGATCGTGGGCCCTATAGCCCGCCCACAGCGGTGGCCACCCTACGCAAAGCCTCAACCCCACGTTCCTGTTCAGCATGCTGTTGATAGGGCCTGGGGGATTCGATCGAAAATCATTGCTCGTGTGAAAGGAGTGCCAGTCTAGTCTCTGAGAACCTCACAAAAATCTGGGAAGCCACTCTAGAAGACGTAGCAGAAGGCTCGACACTGGGCCCTTTTCGTACGGCTGGTGAGGTGACCAAACTGCTCGACAACGATGAGTGGATTCCTACTCAGAGGTTTGAAGTGGTTCAGAAGAACAAGGTTCGTGGTTGCGACAGTGCAACTACAAACTTGATCAACCAGATCACTGTGATCACTGAGAAGCTACAGTTGCCGTCTACTGACACCAATGTGGCGGCGCTGAGATTGATGAGGTCCCTCCTACCCAGCTCGAAGTTTGCTGGTTGGGTTCTTGATGAACGAAAGGCATATCGCCAGGTGGGGATCCGCCCAGAGCACAGAAAGTTCAGTGTGATCTGCTTGAAGGATCCGAACTCAGAACAGCCAGCCTTCTTCGTCATGGTGGGTCATTCGTTTGGGCTCGTGTCGGCCGTGTACAATTACAACCGCCGATCGGCTGCCATTAACGAGATTCTCATGAGGTTGTTCAACTTAGTGTCGTTCAACTTCTACGACGACAAGTATGGGTTCGAGCCAGTCGAATTGGTTGAATCGGCGTTCGTCGTTGCGCAATCCGTGCATTGGTGGCTCGGTGCTCGGTTTGATGCCAAGAAGTTGCAACTCTGCTCGAAGCCCACCATCCTTGGCGTGACCTACAATCTCGATGACTGGATCTTAGAGATCAAGGTTGATCGGCGGAAAGAACTGATCGAAGAAATCGAGAGTGTTTTGGTTTCGGGAGTTCTGGAACCTGGTCATGCCGGAAAGCTCAAAGGCAAGCTCATGTTCGGAGCTAGCCAACTATGGGGGAAGGTCGGCCGTGCTTTTCTGAGATCGATCTCTGAGAGGCAGTACGCTCGGAGCTCCAACTCGGAGGTGTTTGGGATCGATCGTGCCCTGAAGGAGTCCTTGATCCAGTGGAAGAAGCTTGTTGAGTGTGGTCCTCCTAGGACGATCGACCTGTGTGCCCTTAAAAAGGCAGATGCAGTCTTGTTCACAGATGGCTTCTCCCCGGATCTGAGGGACCAAGTGAAGCTGCCAGATCGAGTGGGTGCTGTGCTTTTCGACAGATGCATGAACCATGCACGCAATTCACTGAGGTATAGTTCCTTTCGAAGTGAAACAGAGATGGTCGGCTCACCAGACACAAATTATTCCAGTTGAAATGTTGGCACCGATCTTAGCTCTTGAAACTTTTTCCAGTAGGCTTTTTCAAGCTGATTTGCTCGTTTTTATTGATTCAGAGGTGGTTGAAGCCGCCCTAATCAAAGGCTACTCGAGTAAAGAAGATCTGTGCCTGCTCGTGGCTTGTTTTTGGGATCTTGTCCTCAAGATACAGGCAAGAGTTTTCATCGATCGAGTAGCTACCGATGCTAACCCGGCTGATTGGCCGTCCCGCGACAACCTCACCATAGGTGAGAAGGTTGGATGGAAGACGGTCGCGCCTTGTTGGCCTCAGGGTCTTAGGTGAGCTGTTCAGTGACTGCTCGTACGGTGGGCCTGGGAAGTGAGACAGGATCCAAGCGAATTGGGTCAAATGTGTTTCTTTCTCAATGTGTGTCTCGCTCGACTCGAGTGAACCATCTCGTGAAGAGATTTTTGAGCCTGACCTTTGCCCTGCTGTTCAGCATGTTACAGGTCCAGGTTCACTGACCCCATGCCTTTGTGGACTTGGAACAAAAGTCGCGTTTCCGAGTTCACTTGCACACACAGCTGAACAAGCGAATAACATGAGTGTCCTTTATCCTGAAAGTCGTGAGCATGTTTTCGGTTAGGTGGGCCTGGAACATGCTAGGGACTTTTTAGATAAAGTGTTCAGCTTTGTTTATTTTATTTTTCAATGAATGCGATATCTCATCGCTGCCATTTTGGCGAGCAGTCGCCACTCGACGCATCGCCAGGTTGAGAACACCCGCCCACACCACCCTGGGGATGCTCATCCTCGGGGTGGACAGGCGAGCCGGCGTGCCTGTCGCGCGGATGATCATCTGAAGTGTTTGAAGTTGAAGTTTGTTGATCAGCATCAAAGGGTTTTTGTATTTAATGGGAAGTGAGACAGGATCCAAGCGAATTGGGTCAAATGTGTGTTCAGCATGTTACAGATCCAGGTTCACTGACCCCATGCCTTTGTGGACTTGGAACAAAAGTCGCGTTTCCGAGTTCACTTGCACACACAGCTGAACAAGCGAATAACATGAGTGTCCTTTATCCTGAAAGTCGAGGGGTTAATACAGAAAACAAGTTCTGCCTTGAGCTGTAGCCACTCCAAGTCGTGCCTTTGAGGAAGACCTCGTCGCCTTGGCTCGTGCTCGCAGTACTTCGAAGACGCAGCTGCTGCCCTTCACAGGGCAAAGTGCCCAGCAGATCTTGGGCCGTGCCGACGTCACGGTGACACGGAGTGGTGGACTGACAGCTGGAGAGCTTCTGGCATTACACCGGCGGGGTGATCGTAAACAGGTGGGAATGGAGTAAAAAGATGGACTACATTGTTGCAAAGGTTGAAGAAGAAAGGATTGCATCAAAGTCCAAGTCCAAAAGGTCCAGGAGCTTTTTTTTTGTGGACAAAGTTCATTTGTGTTCCAAAAGGACCCCTCAAGAGGCATGCATTTCTGTGCAGTTTCCATGCTGTTCCTGTCGAAGGTGCTGCTGCATGTGGAACCTGTAGAGAAAGAGGAGAAGACCCGGACATTGGCAGGCTTGCCAGACATGGAGGATCACGTCATGATGGCCTTGGCTGCAGACCAAGCGGCCTTGGAGGGCATGGTGCCTTGGGAGGCTGGAAACGCCCGTTACTTGCAAGAGACTCTGGAGGCCAAGCTAGTCACACCTGAGACCTTGCTAAGTCGCCTCTTGGGACAGGTGGAAGAGCCCTTTCCAGTGAATTGGAAGCTCTTCTTGAACCTTCGAGGTTTCAACCGGGAGGCCATCAAGTTTGCGCAGTCCTGCCAGTGTTCTTTGTCCCTGCACGCACGCCCATTCTCCTTGGAGGCAAGGTTTTGGAGTGGGGCGTGTGGCAAGTCCTTGGAGAAGTTTGCAGGCTTCCCGCTCGTGGGAAAATTGAGGGGTCTTACTTTGCAGCAGTCAGTACTCCCCTGTGGCGAGGGGATCACCATTGTGCGGCCGATGATCAAGCTGCCATTCTGGGCGCAACCAGAATGTGAGGGGTCAGAGGTGAGCTGTGAAGGCCTCTTAGCATGGCGGCTACCGTGAAACCAGGGGAGAAATGCCAAGAAAAGAACGTGATGTGGTCTGCTGCGTTTCGTCGAGCTGTGTCTTACATATTTGTATTTCTTTTCATCATTTTTACACAGAAGTAATATTTGAAAGCAGACAGCAGACCTATAGCATTGTGACCAGGGATTCGAGTGTTTCAGCGGTTGTCACAAATGTGTTCTGGAGGTTATTCCTGGGATGAGCGATTATCCCTACACTCAGATGCCCAAGAACTGCATGACCACGGACCGCAGACAAGCGATTCAAGCGCCAGAGTGTGCGACCAAGCACTTTGTCACGTACTTTTTAGGAACTAGCAGTTTTGCGCAAGACCCTGGCAGGACTTCAATTGCTACTCCCAGATTAAGGAGCAGTACAAGAGCAACCTGCAGAATGGCTTTGTGGACAAAGACGGTTCCTATCATCCAGCTCTGAAGTGGAGTGCTCAGTTGTAGGTGCATGAGGCAATGATGCAATTCCTTGCTTCATTTTGCCCACAGTTTTCTTGAAATCTGTTTGGCTGAGGACAGTGATTGTGATCAATGAGCCTGATCTCAAGATCCCTGGTATCTCGCAGCCATCAAAGTTTTGCAGGCAGATCCGGCCGAGGAAGCAGCAATAATAAGAATGGAGAAAGAATGAGTCGATAATGTATCAAAATGCGTGTCTGTGCTCGGCACGCTCGTATTTGAGGGCCATCATCAGCGCCATCGATGGGATGATTGATGCAGAGAAGGACCTTCAAGCAGTGCATCAGAGCATCCTTTGACTTGGAGGTTGCCTCACGTTAGGCATTAGCCCCTGCGTCTGTATTAGAGGCTAACCTACAAGCGAAATTGTTGATGCCAGGTTGCCGCAGTGTCTCCAACAAAACGGTCAACATATTGAATTTGACAGGAAGTGGGCGTGAAGTCTAACTTCGTGAACTTCACTGCCACCTTCTCCTTTGGCATCTGCACGGCCAGAGGACCAAGAGAACTTGTGACAGCTTGTAAGGATGCCAGAGCAAGCTGGAGAAGAGGACAATAACGTGGTGTCAGTCGTTGGATAAAACCAAACATTAACGCGGTTCTGCGAGTTTTGGTTCCTTCAAAGCGTGGTGGCTCACTGGGACTTTGGTCCTGTTAGCCAAGTAGGTTGGAACAAACAAGGCCAAGGTGAAATCTCATGCTCCTGACAAGAGATGACCATGGTTGTACAAGTTCTTTTCCATGCCGTGAGCCCATCGCCACATACCCGTCAGAATAGTGCAGACTAGTGCCGACCTTGCTCCAGAATTCCATGGAGACTAATGAAGACCGGGACAAGCTCCCTGAGTTTAGCATCCATTGTGATTTTTTTGATCTGGATACATCAACCCACCAAGGCCCTGGTTGTCTGGTGAGGGGAAGTAGTGAGTAACGGTGTCTATGTCAATTGCTAAGGCGTGCGAGGGAAGTCGGAAGCCTGCCCTGGGTCAGGCACAAATGCGAAACAGTCAAGCAGACTTGGATGATGACAAGCAAGATGGCCTTTGACCTAATGGCGATGGCCTCCAACCTAAGAGGGATGGCCTCCAACCTAAGAGCGATGGCCTCCAACCCAATAGTGATGGGCTCCAACCCAAGAGCGATGGTCTCCAACCTAAGAGCGATGGCCTCCAGCCTAATAGCGATGCAACCACCTACTTGCAAGGGCCTCCAACCTAATAGCGATGGCCTCCAACCGACAAGCAAGATCTCCCTTGACGTATTTCTTGCAACTTTTGCACAGATGATTCACCTGCACCTCGCGATGACCCAGCCGGAGGAGCTCTCCCCGCTCGGACCAGTTCTGTTGCATGAAACGATTTTCTAAAGATTAAACTTAGAGTCAAGTTGTGGGATTGAGATCACGATTGTCGGAGAAGAAACGGGCGTGCGGAGGTCACAGTGCAATGACTAACCTGAAATGGGTTGGTTGTTTTCTATAAAGATTCTATAATTAGTACTTGTTCAGGTGCTAACCTCTTGTCCATGTGTGTTTTCAGGCAGCTGAACAACTCTGGTTTTCCGCGTGTCCGCACTTCTGCAAATTGCCACACCCACCTTCTCCATTGGGAGCGGCCATGTGCTGCGTTCGCATCAAGGCTGAGACTGTGACCTGGACCCGGCTGACAGATCGGCCGGAGTCCAGAGACATGTGTCGGCAAAACAGGTGGATTCTAGGGACATCATGATGGTGTGGGGTCAAAGTCGACGAGCACGCTGGCATGGCACTTGTTCAGGTCAATCTAGGAGTTTCACATGCATGCATGGGCTTTCGGCGATAGCGTAGCCAAATCTCCACGCAAATATGAGTTTGAACACAGGAGGTGGGCTACAAAGCGCAGAACGACCTTGCAGAGGTCTACAGGACCAGGCAAGATGCCAAATCCATGGCAGTAGGGCTTGCTGAGTTCGACTGGATTTTAATGAGCTACTCATTGGGTTCCATCACACACACACATATATATATATATAT